TATAACTGACAATATCTCTCGGTCGTGCGATGCTGTTGGAACCAATCGTATTATATAATCACGTATTTACGTTTGTAGTACTTATATGATTAATATAAATTTATATTTCATACATATTGTTAACTTTGTTAAGCGCAGTGACTATAAATTATAACATTGTACCTACTGTCGATCAAAAAAACTGCTCAGATTTAAACAGGACTACAAACGGGATTTGATATCGACAGTTTTTAAGAAGTTTAAAATAGTCAATTTTCAAAGTGATAGTGTATTTTGTGTGCTTGTCGTGTAACTGTGTGTCGTGTGTGTTTATGAGTAAGTGTTCATAGTTGTGTGTGTAACAGAAGTGTAAAACGTAAAATTAATTGCGGCCCTCTACCACACGTGAAGCACAGTTGATAAAACGCACCACATGATAAATTATGATTATTATTATTATTTTTAAAGTATCAATATCTTGCAGATTGTAGTATGTGAACTATTTATCGGATAAAATGTCTGAAAAGTGAAAACATGTTTAAATACGGTCATAGAGTTAACTTGAAAACGAGTAAGCGACTTATTGCTTAAATTTTAAAATTATCAAAATATCACTGTATATACTATAATATTATAATAACACTAGCTGTCAATGAAACTCGGAGGCTTGTGAGACTCAGCGATGCAGACGACAATGTTGTTGAGATTACTTATAGAACTCACTCCTGTTGACGTCATGGGTGGTTAAAAAACAAAAATTTAGGAAGTGATAAGGATTTTTGATAAGTCTTGGAGGTCTCGTTTTGAGCGTGGGAATGTTTGAAATTCCAGTTTCAGTGTCTAGAAATTTCACTTTTTACCCACGAAAATCGGCAATTGAATAATACGGTTCCCCGTCGCATGTCGGGTGCTTTATCGTATGTAAAAAAATGTAAATTCAAAATCCGCGCTTGAGTGTATATGAAGTCGGTCACCTCAAGTGAAATCCATTAACATTCAAGTCGGCCACCTATAGGTAGGCAATTCGACTTCGTCGGATCGCAGTCAATGTCCTACAACTAATCAGGTAAGCAATCCACCTGCGGTGGAAAACAAATTTGAAAAAAAAAAATAATAGATAATAATAAATAATATCACCTTCTCTGACTTTTGAGGTTCAACCCACCTACGGATCCGACTTTTATAATTTTAATTTTTAACGACTCAGTCTCCTTGGACCGAAATCCACGGGGGGTCTGGACTCTGGAGGTCTCCCCCATCGACGCTCGAAGAGCTAGTTTGGTTTAATAAAATAGTAATAATTAGTAAAAAAAAATATTTCTTAGTGATAAATTTACTTCAATATAGTACAGTTGGTATCGCATTACATATTTTATGAACCTTACATAATTAGTCTAATGGTGATTTGTACTTGCGCCGTACAGTTTTGTTTTGTTCCGCTTCACTGAATCGTATAATGAACGATTTGTTGTCGATGCTCACCCGCCCAGGGTATAATTCTTACAAAAAGTAGTCCTATATAAACAATCTGAAAAAAAACCAATTTGTTAAAAGCGTCATTTATAATAATTTACTGCCGCAGTGCAGCTGTATACGTATGTATATAAATTCCATGCGCCGGACGTAATATCCAATGACAATATGACATACTATTTAACGCAGAAGACTGAAAACTGACTTAAAAATATAATTTTACTTTCGAAGCATCGAGGCCACGATTGTCAAGGAAATAGCGAGAGAGGTGTTGATATATAATCTCATGAAGGAATACTATGTTCACTGTACATTATACAGTGTTAGATAAAAGGATCAAGTGACCTTCTTCTCCGTCTGGCAAACATGGTGAAAATCTCAATGTTTATTATTGCTAGTTGCGTACAAATAGGGGGGAGGGGGATTATTTTAATTTATAATTTGATTTCTTCTTTCCTTACACATTAATTGGGATTCGATATTTCGATGCCGTGGTTTTCTGTCTTTGTTTAACACACGAACGATATTTGATTGTCCGGTCTGAGTGATATTATATCGCACATTAATACTAGTAGAAAATACTGAAATAATAATCTGAAAGGGAAGTCATTTGTATGATTTAATTTGTGAACAGTCTTAAAATCTTAATGCACTTGGTTAGCACTACACCAGCAATCCAAAATTTATTTTTTTTTCAAAAGCTTTCCCGGATACACATTACTGCATTTGTACTCCGATTAACATATTATGTATAATTGAATCCTCCTCCCCCCTCCCAATTAGAAAATGTAATGTACTCCACTGATTATTGTACGAGTAGTACTACTACGATATAGTCGTTATAGTATCTCTATTTTAAAATCAAATGAGCTAATTGCATTTAAGTTTTTTTTTATCGATGTATATAATTTACACAGTGGCAGCTCGCAAGTAAATTCATTGGGGAGACTGAAAATTTAATTTAAAAAAAAAATGAATACAAATAATATAAAAAAAACTTAATTTAATTACTTACACGCTGCTATACAATGTCAAATAGCTAAATTTAATAGTCTAATACGGACGTACGACACGCTGCAGTTTTCGTGTTTACAGAAAAATATGTGACGACCGCAATGCGAACGGCAAAAACTTTGAATGAGTCTAGTCTCAGTGTACTGAATAACATCTATACAATCTATCCCCGTCCTTCGCCTTGTCATGCATATGAAATTTGTATACATAATTGAGTCTTTCGGACGGCAGACTCTCGAACTAGCGACCGTCGTCGTTATCGATATATTTAGCCCTTATTGTTATCGTCGTTATCGATATATTTTATATATTGTATTGTTATTGAATGACACTCATTATTAATGTAAAAATAGAATACAAAATATTATCAATATTTAATATCGAAAACCATAATAATTATTTTCAGAATGGATATAACATAAAAATATTAAATTATAATACAATTTCTTTCAAACTTTTATATTGCGTTCCTACTTTTTATTTTTGTGGGGAGTCGCCGTCTCAAAGACTCCCCTGACGAGCCGCCACTGAATATACATAATATACATAATATACATAGAGCAAAGTCGATGTGGATAACATTAAATAACATAAGCGCCAACGTTGCTAACGAGTCATCATTTCCCGGTGTTTTCAATAATGTGGTTGCTAATAAAGTTTACTCCGCCGTCTAGCAGATGGATGGAAAGACAGCATTTCGCCGTTATCAAACGTTGCCAAAGTTTTTTACTATCGAATTTACTCGCATACACGGAGTACTCTCTCTCTCTTCAATTTACCTAATAACAACGTAGTAATAATAATAGAGCTGTATAGCAAGCGGATAAATGAAAAATCCACACTCAGACATTTCTCCTCCCACTAAGACATTTTCTTCCAATATTTTTTTAAACATTTATTTGAATACGAATTATTTTTTTCCCTACAATGTGCATTCAAATTAAACAATGTAAATTTCAATAAATATAATTATTTATTATTCACAAATTAATAAGTAAAGTTTAATACAAACAGTGAGCATAGTATATCATTAATAAAAATATAGCAACTAAAATATTTTGCAAACCAAATATTTTGATAGCTAATAGTTAAGATAAATATTGTATAAAAATACTATGTTCTGCAAAAAGTCTTTGATTTTGTGATTTTCTCCTCATTCCTTTTCCACTCATTTTAAAGTTATTAAATTTGTGGTAAACAATAAACATACATAATTTTTATTACTTTCTTATTATAATATAATACTGAGGGTAATCTATCTGATTTATCTTATTAAATTTTCCTACATTCATCCTGCATCGAGGAGTCGAAAATAAGTTCGCAGAAATAATATTATGTTTACGAAAATCTAGAAAATAGACGGTATGCACAAAGTGTTAAGCTTTAATAATTTTTGGTAAATACAAAATCTTAAATTGAGGTTTACGACGATTAAGTCGCATTGATCTGCGGCGCTACGATTTAGGTTCTGGTAATAATGTGTAATTGCATCCCTCCACATTTTATAATTTCCTTTTCTATCCCTCCACTTATTTTGAAACACTTTGACCACTGGTTATAATATATTTTTATAGTATACTAATTACTAATATCGTACTATATACGAGTATGTGTATGTGAAGAATAAAACATACATCAGGTCGACTATGACCAAAAACAGATGAAGTGATCTGGCTGTATTAAGTATAGAAGGAGAATTATCTAATAAAATGTTTGATAATGATATTTTATAAGCATTTGCATTGCAAATTATTGCAAAACGTTGGGGCGAAGTGTACAGCCAAAAATATGATAGCTAGAGACTTCAAATTGTCAAAGAATAGGAAGGGGTATATTAATTAATGATTTTTAAGAATTCACATTTTAAAGATTATTTCTCAGGGATTTTGTTTCAGCGAATAGAAATTGAATATATTTTCGTGTATACATATGTAGGTATGTGATTGCCATGGGTTTCAGAAAATAAAATAGTTATTATGATTGGATATAGGTAATCAACTAGTGATCAGACAGCAGTTTAACAAGTTCATAATGTTAGGTCTCCAAAAACGATACTGCTTGCATGAGCCAGTTCAGGCAGACACTGAATTAATGACAAAAAAATTCAATTCGGTTACAATACTCTGTGCAGTTTTATTTTCAACTTTGATTTTACAAGACTCCCCGTAACTAAACCTTCAACTAAACTCTTGTGACGTTCATTACTGGGGGCGTGTAGGGGGGCTTTGCCACTGCTTATTTTGAACTTTGGTCTTTTAGAACTCTAGCCTCTGTCACTGTTTAATCTTAGTTACGCCCATGCGGGGCTACATACCCACGACAAGGGTATAATACATACGCGGCCTATATTAACGGCAGTCGGACCAGCAGGTGCGTATTGCACTCGCGGCGGGCGGCAATGTATACGCACGCCGCCGCCGTGAGACATCAACAAGTCGGGCGGCACAAGCGCACACGCGGCGGTTAAAACGCGGGTCACCATGGTGACCGCGGGCGGACGAGCGGATGGTGGCAGGCGGGCGACATCATTCGCGTACGGGCGGCACGTCGCGTCAGTCGTCGTGTACGTGTACGCGCGCGTGTTTGCCGCTCTACAAACTGCACCGGACCGGTGGTGCGCGCGTGTTGTTGTGTGCGCGTCAATCGTATACTGCATACACACACGCACTTTAATAATAATATACGGTTATAGGTACACCGAACACAGGCTACCCCGAACACCCGCCACCCCAATCACCACCGCCACTACCCCCTCATTCACTCCGCACACGCCGTCATCACCGCCGTCACCACCACCACCACCACCACCACCGACGCCGACGCCACCTCTACCCGCGACGACCGCGGTTTTCGCGACTGAATCGCCGCCGCACCACCTGATGGATCCGCGCCGGACCGTGTAACTGCCGTGGTGCGACACACGACGACCGCGACGACATCGACACCGCGCCGCTCGCGCACCGCTTGCTTAGCCGACACGACCGGCACCCATACGACATTACCGTCGTCGTTGTCGTCGTCGTCGTCGTCGTCGTCGTCGTTGTCGTCGTCGTCGTCCAACCGTCGACTCGCCGGCCGCCACACTTCGTCGCGGTATCATATACCGCGACGGGCGACGACTGCGATCACAGCGTCCCGTTCGAATATCTTCTGGTTTGCGGTTGTCCCACTGCAGGGTGAGTGTTAAAAAAATTGTTCACTGTTATTATGTGTATATAATATTGGTTTCTGTGTTTTCCGCGAGTACACGCTGCAGCAGAAGAGAGAAATGTTTAGAAAAATATTTATTTTTCGCGGCCAGATCGAATCGAACTCACGCGTGGTACAGATAAAATTAGAAAAGATAAAACCGCAGTATATAACGTTGTAGATCGATCGTGCGCGCGGATATCTTCCTGTACGCGGCCTCAGCATGAGCGATAGCGGCAGCGGCGGCGGAACGCGATGCGATGTATCGTGCGACGCGGACGTCGTGTTCGGATGTCGTCGGCGAACTTTAGGCCAGGCCGGAAATTACGTCGTCGTGTGGTTGATAATCGTTATACGTATTACACGGGCTTTATTCACATCAATAATAATAATGTTCTACGGCAAATTTACTTCGTTGCCGGTAATTTCATGTTTTTTTTTTGTCCAGACACTTCGTCCGAAAATTGTGCACTTGTGTGTGTGTGTGTGTGTGTGTGAGAGAGTTTGTGAGTGTGTGTGTGTGGCCGCTATTTTCACCGCTACACGCGACGCCGCCGGGCAGCTGGGCCAACGCGCATCACGCCGCGGCATAATATTATAAAAATAAAATCGCGGGACGTCACGCGCGTCAACACCGCCAAAACTCCGTCGTGACAGACGACGAGGCGGATGCTGGGCAGTGGGCACTGGGCATATACATGCGCTCACGCGCGCGCGCACACACACACACACACACACACACACACACACACACACACACACACACACACACACACACAAGCACACACACACACATGTACACACGATATGATATAGGTAGTGGTCGCCTTCGGTGATACTGTTCAAGTCGTCTGTTTTGAACGGTCTACAGAGCGATTCACCAAGCATGCAATAGAACATTTAAATATATAGTCAAGGACTATATTATTATCAAATACTTAGATTTCTCGTGCCATTTAACTATTTAAGGAGCGTCCTGTGGTGGTATCAACTTCTTTCTTTCAAACGACAATCTCCACTTTTATTTCCAGAAATTGTTGATCAGATGGCTTTTTTGATAATTTTGACACGCTGAAGATTTGGGGTGTTAATGATTTGAATACATTTTTATGATTATAATTTCTAAAAAATATTCGGGTATAATAATAATACACAAAAACTTTTTGAGGACTATTACCTTTAGTTTAAACATTTTAATATCTAAATCATCATGTTCAAAAGTCAACCGATTTACTATTTGCTGGAAAAAAGGTCGAAAGAAGAAATAAAAATAAAAAATAAAAAAAAGAAGTTTGTATCTTCACAGGATACTTAGAATACTTCTTAAATGACACAATAATTCTAAGTGTTTGAAAATATGGTCTTCACCTAAAAAGAACTAACTATTCCAAAAATCAGAATTCGAATAAATTCATGCGGCTGAGCATGCTGGGTGATTCAGCCTGTATACGATTGTGGATTATATATAGTATAAAGTATACAATTATCGTCGTTATTAATATTTTCAAACGTCTTAACTCAGTGCTTTTCAACCAGCGTGCACCGAGCTTAGGATCACCAGGAACTGTTAAATCTTCTTTAAATATGGAAGCGACCGAAAACGTTAAATCACTCGTGCTTAACTTTGAACGATTATCGTTGTGCGTCGTGATTCCAATGAGACGCATCTTTTATCACTAGATTTTAACGAGATGCGCAATAATTGGATCGTTTATTGGATATTCTATTTATAGTTTCAAAGGCACCGTATCCGTGCTCCGTGTAATCCGCTTGGTTAACTCTTTATAATCATACAGCGTATAACAAATAGTTGAAAAGTGTATTAAACTACTTCACCGTATGGTATGGGGGGTTATAAATGACTATGGTGAAATCGTTTTACCCAAACAATGTTATTGGTGTCAATAACAATAGAAAATCCTGATCGCGAACCACACGGTTACACGGAATACGGTTATCTAATGTGTATAAATGTACCGTGTGTAGTATTTACTCGTATTGTAAATAATCAGTCGGTGACAAATTATTCAGATAAATACCTCACTTGGTACAGTTCGGGTATGTAATGAACGTTGTACATCGCGCGTGTCTGTGAGGCTTGGTGTGCAGTGAAAATGTTGTGAAAGATAAAATGTGCCAAATTTCCAGAAACGTTGAAAATCCATGACGACCCGTGTACCTCCACACTGTCATATTTTCACCGGGAAGGAAAATAACGAGTCCGTTACAATCGTTAATGCTACACTTGTACCTACACAACGTATCATTACTATTTATTTTAACCCAGGGGCTACTGACGGTTCGAATTTACCCATTTTAGCTCCCTTGAAAGAATTAAGCCCAAAAAAATGAACTGTAATACCGTAGTTTCACTAATTTGCAAAATTCATATAACTAGCGTGGACGACGGCTTATTTATGAATTTTGGATGTCAATTTGTTCAGCCCTCGGAACTCATTACAAATTATTTCATAAATTATGTAAATTATAAAAAAGGAACACCAAATAGCAACGAAAAATATGTATTTACTCTAGAATATGTTAACTCTAATAAATAACGGTTAAACTCACGACTTAAACAGTTAAAACCATTGCTAATAAGTATAATATTATTATGCATAATGCATATAATACAATTATTGTTTTTATTTGTTCAATTTTTTATTTTTATTATGACTTAGCTTTATTATGGGTTTTCTGTTAAAACATGTTTTCATCGTACCACTGGACTTCAAAGTTTCAGCATTTATTTAAGATAGCAAATTGGATCAAAAGCTTTAACTCCACAATTTCTCTTTAGTAAATAACAGAAAATATAATAGAGTTAACGAGTTCCTTTTATAATCATGTTTAATACAATTACTTGAATTGTTGATTAATCAAATTAATACTCAAAAGCCTTCGAAATAAATTAATTTAAAGAACCGTTTGTCAAAAAAAAGAGATAACATCATGTATTTTTGTAATCTATTACAATCTATCATATATACCTATATTAGGATTTCTGTGTAATGTATATAATATTGTATAATTTTATAATACGTCCTATAAAATTTAATAAGACTTCGTAATTTTAAATTTAATAGAAGTCTAAAAAGTTGGAATTTGTAAATAAAGAGAAATGGGTATTACATTTTTCTGCAAAAAAAAAAAATCTTTTTAAGTATTTTTATGCTGCACATCACATTTTCATTTTTACTTTTAAAAATAAATGAAAACTGAATATTTTTACTGTAAAATTACTCATTTTATTAATTAGTTCAATTGTTTTGTTTTTGTTTTGTGTTGACTATTAAGCGGTTTGTAATTATTGCGATGACACAATGAGTATATAAAATGTTTTAGAACCAAAGTATTGATAATATCAAGATCATCTTTGTTCCACCAAATGCTAAATTATTATAGGTATTAAGAGAAGAACAGAAACAAATTAAAATCATAAATAAACCATTTCCGATCAACCTATTCGTATTGAACAACAGTTGTCTTCTCAAAACCGATCTAACAACCTCCAGTTTTTATTATTATAACTATAATTATTTTCGTGACATATACTCTCATAAAAAATATATGCATAAATGTTTTCAAATCTCAAACGCTGATGTATCATTTAAACCGTTGTGAATCATCGGCAACGTGCCGGTGTGACCTGCCAACGTTTTACACTGACGACGATTATTTTCAATTTTACTGTTATTAATACGTTTGATGTATTTAATTACTTAAATACTGATATTGTAGAATTATCGTGCAGGTTTTTGGTCGCGAGTGGTACCTATACAGCCGTTTGACGCCGGGTAAATATTTCAGTAAAAATAGTCTACTGAGGTTGTTTAGTTTAATTGAAGGGGTTAAGGTTAGTTGGAGGGTGCCAATGCGGAAATGTCCCTTTGACCAATTTTGTGGACATAAATATATAAATATATAATATAATATTATATAATATATTACGCGATAAAAAATTATAACCAATAGTAATGATATCGTAGTGATAAACATTGTAAACTTGATTTAGTCCCGGTTAGTGTTTCATGCTGTGTGGATGGGTTCGGAAGGAGTTTAGCTTCAGTCGGTAGAGTTATCTCGTCAGCGATGTAATTAGTATATTATGTAATGGCTCTAAAAAAGGGTTTATTTTGAAATTTTCTTGTTTTAATATTAACCTCTGAAATCCAGACCCTGATTACATAATTGAAGTATAATATAAATGCGTATTTTATTATTAAAAACATAATATATTAGGTACCTATATAATATATTTTTAATTAATCAAGTTTTTATTTTTTGTTGCTTATCACTTTAAAATATTACAATATTACTATCTAACTACATATTATATGTAAAACTAAACAATGTATTTTGATGTCATATTAACATTTGTCGGTGCCGTTTTCAAAAATACTATAAAACGTAAAAACGACAGGTTTCACAAGTTTCAACAATGCTTAAATAAATAGAGATAATAATATAAAACATAGAACCATTACATTTCTATTAGTGGAAACTATAAATCGTTGTTGAACTATGTGAGCAATCACATATATATTTATTGCAAGGTAACAGTCGTTAGCCTGTTGATTCGCCACGGTTTTTGCATTCTGAATAATTATCAACATTTTCAACGTCAAAATAATATTTTTCGCTTGTGATTTATTTTTATGATTATGTATTAGATGACTGTATTGGCAAATATATATTTATATATAAATATATGTTTATCTGAATTTGTACATTTATTATTTTTAATTATTTCGATGGTAATTTATGAGTGAAGCAAAATACGTTTTCACATTTTACAATGCATTCGAAATAACAATTTCTTAAGACATAAACAGTAATCGTCCTAATAAGTTAAAAAACATAAAAATAATACCTTAATATATACAACGTATTATTATATTCTATATTTTCACAAAATAGTAGTTTGTATTACGTTTTGTTTTATAATTAGCGCGCAGGTTTTTAATGGATCAAATATTCAAATATA